GAGGAGGTTGGGTGATGGGGAGGAGGTTGGGTGATGGGGAGGAGGTTGGGTGATGGGGAGGAGGTTGGGTGATGGGGAGGAGGTTGGGTGATTGGGAGGAGGTTGGATGATGGGGAGAGGGTTGGGTGATGGGGAGAGGGTTAGGTGATGGGGAAGAGGTTGGGTGATTGGGATGGGGTTGGGTGATGGGGAGAGGGTTAGGTGAAAGGGGGAGGAGGTTGGGTGATATTAGTGATTGTGTTAAGGAGAGCGCACAGTACTTGCTGTGCTGTTAGAGGGGACAGGGTGATAGGTATAAGATTGGGGAGATAGAGAGCGTCACACACAACATCCGTGTCATGGGGGAGGGGGAGGGGCTGGGGTGTTAGGGAGGGGTCATACACACACCAGCCACGACATGGAGGTAAGTGAGAGGGATCAGGGTGATAGGGAGGGAGAGGGGTTAGGGTGATAGGGACAGAGAGGGGTGATAGGGAGGGTGTCATACACGCGCCTGCCATGTCGTGGAAGTGAGGGAGAAAGGTCTGGGTGAGGGAGAGGGAGAGGGGTGATAGGGAGGGAGAGAAGTCGGTGTGATATTGATAGGGAGGGAGAGGGGTCGGGGTGATAGTGTCATACACGCACCTGCCGTATCGTCGATGAAGACTTTGGCGATACCCTTGGTCGCCATCTTGCCAAAGATCTTCTTCTGCACGCGCATGCCCATGTCCTTAGCCTTGAAGTTGCTCTCTGCCACTGCCAACAGATATAACACAGTCAATACACCACACTCACGCAAACACGACAAGCAAGCACGTTGGTCAACAACAAACAATAAAGGCATCCCGGTGTAAGTAAGCAGGCGTGGGTGTAATAAAAAAACATCAGTGTAAATAAGCAGGCGTGGGTGTAAACAAACAGACATTGGGTGTAAACAAGCAGGCATTGGTGTTAGGAAGCATACAACGGTAGCAAACACGGTTAACACGCATTAGTCTAAGCAAACAAACATCGATGTGAACACGCAGGCATTGGTGTTTTAAACAAGCAGACATGGGTGTGAGTCGCATGACATTAGGAGCTAATAATACCTAATAAATATACAATTAGCTGTTGATTACATCATTGGGAACCGACTCACGACGTGATTACTGAATTATTATGGGAGTCTATCCTGCGGGGACGCTAGCCAATCTAAGCACAATTACGACTGGTCAAGGCAACAATATGTTAGCACATCAATACGTTATCAGGAGCTTATATTGAATTTATAAATGCTTAGATTACGAAAATCTGTCTATTTTCATATGCCATCTATCCCGTTAACCCGCTGCCGACATTCCTGTCACTAGTGTCCATTTCAAAATTGACCGTCCTATACAGACAGACCTTTGGTACGTATACAATTCTATTAAGCCGCATGGGGGCCGCTGCCAGAAACATTTAGTCGTAATAATATGTCGCTAAAACTTTTCCCCGTGTGTTGCAGTACTGTGTATCGTTATTGTACAGCTATGATGCTTCCGACAAAACACTGGAATAGTATATTACGATACTATCGGGGAGCGAAATCAGCACCGGCCCACCGGCTTATGCCGGTAAATTATTTAGAGGGAGAGTATAACATTGGCAAAACACCAGGTGGTTTCAGCCGTGTTTAATAGCGAGTACCTACATTTTTATTCATAGCAAATTTATAGCAATTTATAGCAAATAGCCTACATTACTGTTTTACCTGAAGGATATCACGCCATAAATTATCAACATTTTACAAATTTCAAATCGAGAATGCAATCGCGGTTTATTCCCGGTTGGCCTACACCCATTTCGTCTATACGCTCAAAATCTACCCCATTCCCATTTCGTCTACGATCGGTTTGTTCACTAAATAATCATTTATAAATAATAAAATATGGTTTTGATTGGCATACATAGACTACAAGAACCAGTAGAAAATATAGGTACAAATACAGTATTTTTAGGTGAAATGACACTATTATATATATTACCTTGATATTACTTATTGTGAGAGTAGACGAAATGGGAATATTGCCGATTCTGAGAGTAGACGAAATAGGAGTAGGCGAAATGGGACGTAGGTGAAATGGATGTAGGCGAAATGGGAGTAGGACAACTACCTCTGACTTGACAAATTTCGATTTCTACGCTATAACCAGGAGTAAATAAAAAACCAAACGTTTGTTTTTATTCACTCCTGATATAACCTATTATAGAATCCATAAAAATTAACGAGTCAAAAAAGTTTCCGTAGTTCAACATTGACCGTAGCCAAATGTTGACGGACGGACGGACGTACGGACGTACGACGGACATCGCCCCATGGCAATAGCTCATCTTGACGATGTCAATGTGAGCTAATAAATCAGGTCAGCAATGGCTGCATGTCCCCATCAAGCAGTTTCGGGGAAATTCTAACTCATTCACATATCTCGTTATTACGATTTATATCTACGAACCTGTTACAACTTACAATGATACGCTCCCACCATCGTCACACTTCCTAAACGCAACTCCCTTACCTCCTTCCTTCAGCAGCAGAGAATGTTCATTTCTTCGAACCAGACGGAACGAAGGTGTTTTTTGGGGCCGGTAGAATTTACTCACGCGCGGGACCCATTGACTGACAATGTATTTTTTCCATGACTTGGCAAGGACCGTTCAATACCGACAACAACAACAACAATGATAAAAAAATTAGTTGGTCCAGCACAAGTCGGCTGACTGCGACACTGTCCGGACCCTCTCCACCTGAGAGAGATAACAACGCCCCCTGGATGTTGCTGCTAGATCGGTCAAACAAGACCAGTTCATATCACTGATCTATAACTCAGTGATCTTATATATATAGATGAACTATATGATTATATATAAATATATATAGATCAGTGGTTCATACGTGCTCAGTTTATGACGTCACTAAGCATTGTTGTTACAATATCTTATTGGTACACTGATTGGCCAAGGCTGTACATGTGTCAATCACGTCAAGCAGATAAATTAATTGAGATGTATAGCTGAGTTCCAAAATTCAGCCGAACAGACAGAATATGACATGTATATCACAATCGCTTCACAGCACTAAAATAGGCAGGGAACGCCCATATGACACGCCCACGTGACACGGCAATATGTCCTCGTGCTGTTCGCATGTATATATATATATATATATATATATGAACACGGATTAAATCGGCTCTGTTGGTAAACGGCAGTCATTCGAATGCACGCAGTTATAAAACCACAACCGGCAGCCGGTGCGGCCCTCGTAAAGTTATCAGGCAAACTTCAGGGCCCAGTTTCACGAAGCATAATTAAGTCCTTAATCATGATTAACCTCCCGTAATTAAATTGAAGTGACTGTTTCACGAAGCGTATTTAACTTTATGTGTGGCAATATATGTAATTCAAACATATTTTCATTGAAAGAAAAGTAGCACAAAAGTATTATCCTAGCTTTTGGTAAATAAATTATTATTATCCTTTGAATAAAATGGAGATTGAACCCATTCGATTTGAGGGCTGGTGCCATCTCCGAAATAATGTATCGTACTACATGCACAACTGTAGCTGTGTCGTGACTGTAGACAGTGTAGAGTGTAGACTAGTTATTATTAGATATATCCAGTAACAGCGTCATTCCATTTTAAAATAGGTAAGGGTGCTATGCACATAAAATGTAGCGACCGACTTAAGGATACTCTCTATACCTTTTGCACGGGTATTGCTCTAATAAAGATTAAACGTTTATTGGCGAATGAATCAATCACTTGTTTTATTTATAGAGGAGATATATCTCTATGCTCAAGCCAAAAAATGTAGCGACCAAAGGATAATGCAATTTGTTAATTCTAAAACGATAACACTATATATTAGATTAACCTAAAAAAGACTTTGTATTTTAATTTTCATGGGAATAACAAGGGGGATTAAGTCGACTAATTACGTAATTAAGTCGGCTAATTATGTAATTAAATCCCTTTGTGAAACCGATTTTTAATTAAGATTAACTAATCATAATTACGGGAGGTTAATCATGATTAGTGATTTAATTATAATTAAAGTTAATTACGGTTTGTGAAACTGGGCCCAGTTCATATCACTGATCTATATATAACCAAGAGTAGATAATAGGAGATTATTATCTCCTATTATCTACTCTTGATATAACTCAGTGATCTTATCAAGAGCTAATAAGACCTATTATTAGCTCTTGATCATAGATTAACTATATGATCATATCAAAGGCTAATAATACCTTATTAGGTATTATTAGCTCTTGATCATATATATATATATATAGATCAGTGGTTATTGGCACACTGATTGGCCAAGGCTGTACATGTGTCAATCACGTCAAGCAGATAAATTAATTGAGATGAATAGCTGAGTTCCAAAATTCAGCCGAACAGACAGAAAATTACATCACAATGGCTTCACAGCACTAAAAGAAGCAGGAAACGCCCACGTGACACGCGGCAATGTGTCCTCGTGCTGTTCGCATGTGTGTACGTATATATATATACAGGGGCGGCGCCACAGGGGGGGGCAGGGGGGGGCGGTCGCCCCCCCTATCATTTGCAAGAAAAAGGAAGAAGAAGAAGAAAAG